GCACAACCACACATCTCACGATCGGCGATGCGCTTAGCTTAGACTTTGGGGGCCAAACTGTTGGCGTTACAACCAACTGAGACGGAGCGCACAGAGCGCACGGAGCACTCATAGCGTGCAGGAACGTGCGCGTGGCCGGAGTGCCTGGAGCGCAGAGTGGCTGGAGCACATGCCACCGTGGCCCCGAGCCCAGCGAGCGGGAGAAGCATGCAGGGCGGTGTGCTTGGAGCGGCGGGGGTAGGGCTCGGGGGAGTTTAATCCCATTTTTTTTATTTTTTTGACGTAACCCCCCTCCTCAATTTTGTTTTTAAGGTAGGGGGATGTTTCTATCGCCGTTCAACTAGTCCATTCCTTCGTTATGTCTCTTTCCTTCTTTCCCTCTGTCTTTGGATGACCATCTCAAAGGGTTGGGTTACAGACTATTCTACAGGAAAACAGCTGATTTAGGGTGTTTTGCGGCCATTTCCTGTAGATTTTCCTGTAACCACCATCCTGATCTCCACAGCCTCATACCTACCCCGCTGAATCGACTCAGCGCGCGGCGCTGTGCAGCCCAAGGAGGAGACCCTGGCCCGAGACTGCAGGAAACCAGGCAGGGAACCACCGCTTTAGGGGTACCTTCCATTTCCCCTTTTCATGAGTGTATCTTTTCAAGATACCTTTTTTGGGTTGGTTTAAAGGGAAACCACCAAGTTTGGTGAAAGCACCTTCCATTTCCATTCTTTCCAGGGATCCGGTTCCAGTTTGATTTCTGCTATTCAGCGTGTTGCTTCCTATCCAAGAGATGGGTTCAGCTTTCTTTTTCCTTGCCTTTCGGTCAGCAACTCAGCCAAGAAGCGTGGCATGCGCTGTTCTAGGGGGTGGTTCCCCATGCTTTTCCACCATTATTATTTTCAACAACCAAGTATTTTCCCAGGGTTTCCGGAGTTTTTCTATCAAAGATTCAAAATTATACTGAAGAAAAAAGAAACTGCTCCAAGAAAGCCCGTCTACCCTGGAAGCACTGTTATTTTTTCAGATTCGCCCCACAAAGGCAGGGCCGAATCGGCTTCAGACGGCCTACACAAAGAGTAACGGCATCAACACTCTCTGACGGCCAGGCCTCGGGGAAGCAGAACGCGACAACTTCCCACTCCGAATCTTGTTTTGGCTGATGGGATGGGTTTTGCTGGTTGGGCTGGGCTGCCTGGCTGAGTCGCGTGGGCTTCGAAGTGTCGCTGGGACCCGGTGGGACCCCCCTGCAAGCTTGTCAAGTTCTGGGCAAATGATGAAGGATCTGAAGCTGGGTTTGTCATCCATTTCTGAACTTGTTATCTTTCTTTCATGCGTTTTGTCTCTCATGTCGCAGCGCAGAGCCCCGCTGCGATGCACATCTCAAGCTTGTGGACCCCGGATGACCCCGGTCAACGTACGCCAAACACAAACCCACGAGCGCTCCCAATGAGAAGCCGTCCGAAGCAGCGCTCCCGGTGTTCCTTTTCTCCCTGTGGCAGGCTTGCGTCTTGGGGCTAGGTGCCTGAACACCAAAATCAGGACATATCAGGACCTTAGGCACTCTGACCTGAGCTAGGTGATGAACAGGTGGTTTGGAATGAACAGAAATGGGATCTTCTTCCAGCGAAAGTGGCCCGGGGTCACTGGGATGCGCTTGTCTCCGCCAGATGGTCCTGTCGAAGTCGGCGCAGCCGCCGCCAGGAAACGTATTTTTGAGGCGGCATCAAAATAAACCGAGGACAACCAAGGAAACTCAAGAGCAAAACACCTAAAGCCAACCCTTTGTTTGCTGGGGCATCCTTTCGGATTCAGCCCCGAAGCAGACCCCTTCCGCACCCCAAATCCTCCATGGCCCAGTCGGTTGACTGCAGGGTTGGTCTTGTCCATCGGGGATTGTGCTGCTCGACAGCTGCGTTTACTTGTTTTGCAGCGCAACGTGTCAGCTGTTGGCACGGGTGACCCTTGGGCATCCCTGGGCTACTCTTGTAAACTAAAGGCAGCAAGCAAAGGATGCAGGACGAGGGGGAGAAACAGCGACCTGCGGGAACGCAATGATTGCTTCGAATCCGGGGACACCATGAAACGTATTCTCTTCAATGTGGGATGGCCACAAACAAGAGCCCGGGCAAACTTCCCAAGTTGAAATTCATCAATGTTCGGCTGCACGAAGGGAGGGGCACACTGCATTGAACTATGAAGTGAAGCATCCTATGGCTGAAGTCTTGCGCCACAGCTTGATGCATCTCCCTTCATCCCTCCTCTTGAGAAGGTTGAGAAGGCAAAACCAAGCCCTCTCAAATACATGCCAAAGGCTTCAGGCTGGCAACTAAAAACAAACGAGGAGCCCAGCTGCCAAAGAAACACATCCAAAAATAAAGCACATCACCATCTTCTCCTTTGCCCCTGGTGATGCGCTGCGGATCGCCTGAGCACAAGCGAATGCAAACACCAGGCGCCGAAGCAATGATACAATCCTTCATTCTCAGGTCCTCGAAACTATTTCGCTTGCCAGATCCGGGCAAACAGAACAAACAACACTGGCAAATAGACTTCGTGAAGACTGCTAGCAATCGCATCTTCACATGCCATTGCCACTCGCACCGTTTTACCAGTCGCGCACACCTCTTCACCCGAAGGCTCCAGCTAGACAAGGCGAATGACGAAAGCCCATCTCTGCTGCAAGCTCTGTTGCTCAGTAGTAGCCGTTGTGGGGCTTGTAGGGGCTTCCTGCATTGTCATAGTCCTCAATCCAGCGGATCTCAGTGAACTCCCGGCCAATGTACTCCTTCATCTTCGCCCTGAGATCCTCCTGCTGCTGCTTCCAGATGGGCAGGAAGTCTTCGTTGCGGATCGGGTAGGTGCCATCAGTGGTGTCAGGGATGCTGGGGTCCGGGTTGGGCCAGTCAATCTTGAACTTGCGGAAGACGCCTGCACCAGTGCTGGGCTTGGAGTACTTGGGGTCCTTGCCGTCAGTCTCCTGGTTGTACTTCCTGTAGTAGGCCTTGGCCCAGGCAAACTGCTGCTCCTTGGTGGTGCAGTCCACCCTGATGTCGCAGCCCTTTGCCAGGATCTCCTCGTCACTGGGTCCTGGAGCTGGGGTTGGCGCCTGTTCTGCCGGCGTGGGTGCTGGGGTGGCTGGTGCCTCTTCTGCCCGCACGGGCGCCAGGGTGGCCAGGGAGAAGAAGACACCCAGGGCCATGCCTCCGACCAGAGTCGGCAGCGAGCCCCAGCTGCTCTCAGCCGCGGGTGCGGCCTGCAGTGCCCGGCTTGGCGGCGCTGTGGTGCCACGGGGAATGGCGCCGGGCACAAAGGCAAGGCCGCCGGCGACGGCGATCAACGCCGTGACAGCGAGGCTGCGCGCCATGGCTAAAAAAACGTGCAAACAAACGCAGGTTGTCTGTTGCACAGCTGAAGGACCTTTGCACCAGATTCAAACGAGCCAAATGGCAATCAAAATGCACAGCGAGTCTGGCACAATCAAGCTGTTTGGGAGCTCGACGTCATAAGACAACCTTGCACTACCGGCCTGGCTAAGACAGAGTCTCCGTCAGCTGACATCATAACACGGTGACATCCCTGAAAGCAAAGCATGTGCTCGCCCTGAGCGCAAAAGACAAGGCACAAACATATGCATCATGTATATATATATAATTATATAATAATATATAGATATATAATATATAGATATATAATATATAGATATATATATATATGTTGGGGCAAATAGAAACCTCTTCACATTCGCTTCATGTCTGGAAGCATTGCAAGTTCTCTGGGCTCTTGGGCCTGTGGCGTGTCCTGTGCCTGGCGGCCAAGAATCCAACACTCAGCAAGTCCAAAGCAACGGGCGGAAGCACCGCCAACAGTTGAGGTTGACCTTCCAGCCTTAGCCTTTTGGCTGAATTCTGCGAACAATGCCGACTTGGAATATGCGAAGGGCTCTTCCCTGCGGGGGGGGAGGGGGGGGGCATGGCACCACTCACAACACCCAGATCAAATTCTTCAGGCAAGGCATGATTCAACCAACCTGCCTGCCACTCACAAACGAAACAAACAGGTGGCATTCACGGCAAAGCCACCCATTGAAGCGAAGCTACTCTAACGCAGGACTATGGCACAAGTACCTGCAATCAGCTTGCCATGAACACATTGAATGAGGAGATGAGAAAATGGGGCCGGACATGGCCGGACGTGGGCGAGTCAGCCAACCCTTCGGTTCAACGAGCGAAATGAGCACTTCGCACTTGTCTCAAAGGTAAACGGTTCTATGAACACAGCACCGCAAGCGAGCGAAGCTTGTCAGCCGCTCCTTCCAGGCACAACAAAGTTGCACAATGGTGCACACACGGACAGGCACACCTCCGAACCCCCATTGAGCACATTTGCGCCTTGGAATTGAGTTGAACAGGTGAGTTGGCATATTTGTTTCACACTATGCTTACGCAATCTTACGCATAAGGGCAGAAGGATTGCATCCCTGTTTTCAGTCGATGCCACGCTTTCATCGTGGTGTGGTGTTAAGCCGGCTGGTGCTATAATATTCTCCGTTCCTAGCGAGCTAGTATAGGCTATAGAAACTAGCATTCATTTCATTAATGCAAGAGTGCCACTCCAGCAGTTTGGCAACACTTCCACAACGTGGTTGCAAAGCTGACTGCTCTTTGCCTGAATGTAGGCCAAGTTCCACATGGATGTCATCGAAGCCAAGACATAGAAACAATTAAGCACATTGCGTGGCTTACCGTGATGGCTTGTGATAGATGTGGCTGCCAAAGACACATATTGCACGTGCTTAGCCTGAACTAAGCAGAACACACTTCCCAACACGAGTTTAAAGCGATCCAACTCACATGACAAACCAAGAGTTGTGGGCCAGAAGCAAAGGGTGAACTGCATGTACTGGCGACATGTTTTTGCTCCTGTGCCGTCAGCACCATGATGACGCAGGGCATTCTAGAAAAAAGTGCCGCGCTCACTTGCCTGTCGCTGAGATCATTGTGGTCTGCTCAGTAGTAGCCGTTGTGGGGCTTGTAGGGGCTTCCTGCATTGTCATAGTCCTCAATCCAGCGGATCTCAGTGAACTCCCGGCCAATGTACTCCTTCATCTTCGCCCTGAGATCCTCCTGCTGCTGCTTCCAGATGGGCAGGAAGTCTTCGTTGCGGATCGGGTAGGTGCCATCAGTGGTGTCAGGGATGCTGGGGTCCGGGTTGGGCCAGTCAATCTTGAACTTGCGGAAGACGCCTGCACCAGTGCTGGGCTTGGAGTACTTGGGGTCCTTGCCGTCAGTCTCCTGGTTGTACTTCCTGTAGTAGGCCTTGGCCCAGGCAAACTGCTGCTCCTTGGTGGTGCAGTCCACCCTGATGTCGCAGCCCTTTGCCAGGATCTCCTCGTCACTGGGTCCTGGAGCTGGGGTTGGCGCCTGTTCTGCCGGCGTGGGTGCTGGGGTGGCTGGTGCCTCTTCTGCCCGCACGGGCGCCAGGGTGGCCAGGGAGAAGAAGACACCCAGGGCCATGCCTCCGACCAGAGTCGGCAGCGAGCCCCAGCTGCTCTCAGCCGCGGGTGCGGCCTGCAGTGCCCGGCTTGGCGGCGCTGTGGTGCCACGGGGAATGGCGCCGGGCACAAAGGCAAGGCCGCCGGCGACGGCGATCAACGCCGCGACAGCGAGGCTGCGCGCCATGGCTAGACAGGCGCCAACAAAAGCACTGGGTTGTGGCACAGCTCAAGCCAGGCCCAGTGGCAAGAACAAGCAACGTACGCCGCACGACGTGACACTGAGTTGGAGTACCAAACTAGGAACAGCCAGTACGCCAAGCTGGCGTATTACCCGCAATTCTGAACGTTTGTTGTCTGACATTATCTTCTCTATGGTTCTGCGGCTATCCAGTCGTTCATTCATACCTTCATGCGGGAAAATACCTGGCACCTTCGCTGGACTCACTGCCCACGGCAGCTTGGCCACGGTGATGCACATGGCACACAAATCCATGAGGGCAAGTTTCCTGTTGAGCATTGAACATACCAGTATTTGTAAGGATATGTAAAAATAGACCGAACGTGAACAATGTCAAATCACGGCATGCGTAGCATTCGCTACACAAAACTGACACGGAGCAACAGCGTGGATGCACCCCATTTTGCGCCCGCAAACCCACGTGCCGTCAGCAGCATGCCGGCTGGGCATTCCGCAAAACAGTGTGCCACGCGCACTTGCCGTCGCTGAGATCATTGGGGTCTGCTCAGTAGTAGCCGTTGTGGGGCTTGTAGGGGCTTCCCGCGTTGTCATAGTCCTCAATCCAGCGGATCTCAGTGAACTCCCGGCCAATGTACTCCTTCATCTTCGCCCTGAGATCCTCCTGCTGCTGCTTCCAAATGGGCAGGAAGTCTTCGTTGCGGATCGGGTAGGTGCCATCAGTGGTGTCAGGGATGCTGGGGTCCGGGTTGGGCCAGTCAATCTTGAACTTGCGGAAGACGCCTGCACCAGTGCTGGGCTTGGAGTACTTGGGGTCCTTGCCGTCAGTCTCCTGGTTGTACTTCCTGTAGTAGGCCTTGGCCCAGGCAAACTGCTGCTCCTTGGTGGTGCAGTCCACCCTGATGTCGCAGCCCTTTGCCAGGATCTCCTCGTCACTGGGTCCTGGAGCTGGGGTTGGCGCCTGTTCTGCCGGCGTGGGTGCTGGGGTGGCTGGTGCCTCTTCTGCCCGCACGGGCGCCAGGGTGGCCAGGGAGAAGAAAACACCCAGGGCCATGCCTCCGACCAAAGTCGGCAGCGAGCCCCAGCTGGTCTCAGCCGCGGGCGCGGCCTGCAGTGCCCGGCTTGGCGGCGCTGTGGTGCCACGGGGAATGGCGCCGGGTACAAAGGCAAGGCCGCCGGCGACGGCGATCAACGCCGCGACAGCGCTGCGCGCCATGGCTTTTCAATTTAATAATGTCTAGCGCGCCTTTGGCACAACCTGGGGCCACAACGCAGGACAGTGATGTCTGGCCTTGGTGGAACTTGCTGAGCCCTGCCTGGCCTTGCCCAGCACTGCCTCCAGTACATTTGCTAGTTGTATAGCGCGCCTCCTACAACAAGTTCACCCAAAGAAGTAACCCAACTTGAGGGCTCATGCCATTTCACACCAATGAAGAAGCAGCAATCAATCAAACAAACGCACACAAACCAGCAATACATGGCAGCTGCACAAGTGTCCAACAAGGCCTTGCGCAATCTCCAAATAAATCTGCCTCAACGCAGCTGGATAGCGAAGCACGTGTTGACAATCCAAGCGTAAATCATGCGGAGGGTACCAGTAAGGCATCAGTAAACACGCAGGCTGGCAACTGAAGATTCAAATCCTAAATCCCGAAAGTGCAGGCAAGCAACAAGTCACATCTTTTGTGCCATGCGCACTTGCCGTCGCTGAGATCATTGAGGTCTGCTCAGTAGTAGCCGTTGTGGGGCTTGTAGGGGCTTCCTGCATTGTCATAGTCCTCAATCCAGCGGATCTCAGTGAACTCCCGGCCAATGTACTCCTTCATCTTCGCCCTGAGATCCTCCTGCTGCTGTTTCCAGATGGGCAGGAAGTCTTCGTTGCGGATCGGGTAGGTGCCATCAGTGGTGTCAGGGATGCTGGGGTCCGGGTTGGGCCAGTCAATCTTGAACTTGCGGAAGACGCCTGCACCAGTGCTGGGCTTGGAGTACTTGGGGTCCTTGCCGTCAGTCTCCTGGTTGTACTTCCTGTAGTAGGCCTTGGCCCAGGCAAACTGCTGCTCCTTGGTGGTGCAGTCCACCCTGATGTCGCAGCCCTTTGCCAGGATCTCCTCGTCACTGGGTCCTGGAGCTGGGGTTGGCGCCTGTTCTGCCGGCGTGGGTGCTGGGGTGGCTGGTGCCTCTTCTGCCCGCACGGGTGCCAGGGTGGCCAGGGAGAAGAAGACACCCAGGGCCATGCCTCCGACCAGAGTCGGCAGCGAGCCCCAGCTGCTCTCAGCCGCGGGTGCGGCCTGCAGTGCCCGGCTTGGCGGCGCTGTGGTGCCACGGGGAATGGCGCCGGGCACAAAGGCAAGGCCGCTGGCGACGGCGATCAACGCCGCGACAGCGAGGCTGCGCGCCATGGCTTTTCAAAAAGAATTGTCGGCACCCCAAGTGACTGGAAATTGGCATGTTTGGAGCCAAATGCAATCAAGCAAGCAGTGCAGATGCTGTCAGCTGTGGCCAGCTTTCCTTGCATCACACTGACCTTCCCTAGCATTCTCTCTTGAGAAACTTGTGGACATCCTCTTCTGGAGGATGGTAATACATCTTGCGATCACAACGCCCGAGAAAAACCAGCAACACCAGCCTTCCGGTTGTCTTGGACTGTGGGCAAACTCCTGCACTGCCAGACTAAGCCAACAGACACGTGCCGCCCATTTCCCACTATTGCCCTCACTTCAATTCAAACTCCAAACTAGGGAGTGCGAAAGAACCCCCAAACATTCCGACATCTACAAGGCAGGCAAGCAACAAGTCACATCTTTTGTGCCATGCGCACTTGCCGTCGCTGAGATCATTGAGGTCTGCTCAGTAGTAGCCGTTGTGGGGCTTGTAGGGGCTTCCCGCGTTGTCATAGTCCTCAATCCAGCGGATCTCAGTGAACTCCCGGCCAATGTACTCCTTCATCTTCGCCCTGAGATCCTCCTGCTGCTGCTTCCAGATGGGCAGGAAGTCTTCGTTGCGGATCGGGTAGGTGCCATCAGTGGTGTCAGGGATGCTGGGGTCCGGGTTGGGCCAGTCAATCTTGAACTTGCGGAAGACGCCTGCACCAGTGCTGGGCTTGGAGTACTTGGGGTCCTTGCCGTCAGTCTCCTGGTTGTACTTCCTGTAGTAGGCCTTGGCCCAGGCAAACTGCTGCTCCTTGGTGGTGCAGTCCACCCTGATGTCGCAGCCCTTTGCCAGGATCTCCTCGTCACTGGGTCCTGGAGCTGGGGTTGGCGCCTGTTCTGCCGGCGTGGGTGCTGGGGTGGCTGGTGCCTCTTCTGCCCGCACGGGCGCCAGGGTGGCCAGGGAGAAGAAGACACCCAGGGCCATGCCTCCGACCAGAGTCGGCAGCGAGCCCCAGCTGCTCTCAGCCGCGGGTGCGGCCTGCAGTGCCCGGCTTGGCGGCGCTGTGGTGCCACGGGGAATGGCGCCGGGCACAAAGGCAAGGCCGCCGGCGACGGCGATCAACGCCGCGAGGCTGCGCGCCATGACGAAAAACAACCAACAGCCTCCTCAAGGCAAGGGATGTTGGCACGTCTTCAGCCCCAAGCCACGGTGAGATTGGGACGCGCGTGCAACACTAGAACGAAGCGGTTTGACGCATTCATTGAGTTGTGGCCTTTCTTTCTGTCAACTGCTGTGAAATTCACTTCAAGGGGCCCAAATGTAGCCATGCACAAAAAAAGAACGAGGCTGCAGCGCAAGCTGGCAGAGGTCCTGCGCGGCTGGAAGTCGGGCATGCCACTCCCAAGCGAACACATGCAATGCGAAGCCGCGTCCTCTGCGTGGTGAGGGGCGGGCCCTGGCCCCAGTCTGAGCCCAATCACTGCGGGAAGATTTGCATCTGATGAGCGGCTGTCATGCGCGTCAGGCTGAATTCCAGTAGCATCTGAGTTGGCCTTAACGAACACACGGCCAGTTACAGGGCCCAACACAAAGACCTTGGCCACGGCGGCCTAGGTGCTGCCAACCAAAAATGGGCTGATCAGGAAGCCAGTCTTCCCACGTTGACGATGTCAAGCTTCCGAGACAGCCTACACTTGGCCAATAAATCGCCAGCCACAGCCAGTGCCTGGCATTTGTCAGGCTGGCAAGGGCTCTACTCGGGGCTGGCAAGGCACACCGTTGGCATCATACAAACCTGAAACAGGGTGGTCTAAAACCGCCCAACTCGACGGTTTCTACGAATTGTGTCAGGAACAGCCAAGTCCCCGAGCAGCGAATGCCTAGAAGTCCGACACCTTTGTGACGACCGAAGCCGGCCATGCTGCTGTGAACCTCTGAATGCCACCTTTGGTGGCAACACAGGCGCCAGCACGCACTTCTCACCGGATGACACCTGGTCACATCACGCGGGCCAAAGAAGGTCTGCCCACGCCACAATGGGAGCAATGAAACAGCCGTGCTGTCAACCAATGCCTGCCGCCACAAACCGAAAATCTATCCAACCCCAAACCCTCATGCAAACTGCGCTGGGAGAGAACTGAAGCATGGGGGCTGCCGGAATTTGTGAGATTGACACGCCGACAAATTTGCAGCAGCCAGGACCAGGATATTGCGGCCTATCCGCGGCTCCAAATGGGGATACGGCAAGCGCAATCTCGGGCCTCACTTGCTCAGCATCCGCCCAGGGGCTGATGGGCTCCTTGCCAAGGAAGCGTATATCCAGCAGCTAATGATTATGTTATGTCTCACTTGTATGCGCACTGGCTGGGCATCTCATGAAAATTGAGTCAGCACGAGACACTTGAAATGCTTAGGCCAAGGACTGCCAATCACGCAAAGCAACCACGACAACACAGCGCAGAAGTGCAAGGCATGACTCAGCCGCGCAGGCCATATGTCCTTGCAGATTTGGTCGAGCGGCAGAAGGACATGGTGGGCGACCTCGGCGTGAGAGACATGGCCGCTCATGGTCCCACCAACTCTGCTAAACTGCTAATTACATTGACTTGCAAAGAATGGCGTGTCAAATTGATCCCGCAGCCAAAAGAAATGGCCCCGAATATAGTTTGGATTATGACATTCCGACTCCAACAATCCAACTCTGTGTAGCTTGCGCCGAGCTTGGCCTGTCTGCGAACTAGACTCCCAACGACATGAACCCCCGCAGCGACCCGAAACCCTGCAAGCCCGTGTCCCATTCGTACATAATCGAAACCTGACGAATCTGATCAGTGACTGTGCAGGTCCATTTGCCGGCTCAGCGTCTAAAACCTGCGCTGTCTTGGACAGCTTGGTGACGGAAAAGCCACGCGTGCTGCGAAGGGCCCAGCCCACATGCTGGTGACTGTATGCCGAAACGGTGAACAAGATCGCAGAATTCGAAGCCTCCATGGCTGTACGAAACAGAGTGTTCTCAGGGCTTTGCAAATCAATGCTCATGGGCACCTGGTGGAAGCTAAACAATGCCTGCTCCTCTGCAGCATTATCTTTGTGACAGTCATGCTGGAACAAAAGGTCGGAACGGGTCTGAACATGCCTGGCCATACCACAAGCCCCCACCCAAAACCAGTTCAGAGATTGTTGCAGGCATCTCAGATCCTTTGTGCAAATGGCATGCAACGAGCAGTAGGGGCAAATCTTGAAGAGCTAGGGCCCTGATTCTGAACAGTGTATGGGGCAACACTGCGAAACATCTGTGCGGACTGTGAAGCCTCGAATTCTTAGAAATATTTTGCTGCTGGCCGAAAGCAAGGAAATAAAAACAATAGGATTATGACGCCAAATCGCATCAAACGAAGCCCTATAGCCATCATGGTAGGTCGTAACAAGCCTGGCCAAGCTCGAGTCCTCTCTCTCTCTCTCTATCTCTGCCTAGTGACACCTTGAGCTTGGGCCTATGCTTCATGCTTAAACGAGAATCCACCATGTCCGTGCTAGTGCCCACGCGCACCCATGCCTGCTCACATGCTGGAGAAGCAATGTGAAGGCTGCATTAGCATGGCCCATCAACAGGCGGACAAGGTCACGAGTCACACCGCAACATTCCCCATTCCAGCTCTGGAGCTGCGGAGATCTCTCGAAAAAGGGTCTCCAAGCCACGGGAAGCTGGAGAGCTGGACCCCTCACTTCGTCACCATGAGAATGGACATGATGGCCGCGAAGATGCCGCTACCCGCCATGGCCAGGATCTTCAGCATCCTGAAGCGCCCAGGAGAAATCAAAAAGAACTGCCAAAGAAACGCCCGGGACAAGGGAGACCCTAACCAAGAAAACTCGCATACAAAGAGCAAAGGCACACTAGCTAAATTATCTAAATTTGACAAGCTGAGAAAGTTGAAATCAAACAGGCGATTCAAGCACACAATCAACCGCCAGCTGAGTCATGACGAAGGTACGGTTACAATCTCTGAGTACTCGTGCTCAGGCGAGGTTTATTGCCACCAGAACTGAATGGTGCCGTGGCAATGAAACATGTCCAGCTGGTGATGTAATGCTGCCAGTGCGAAACTGCGAGCAACTCAGGCCGTACATGCAAAACTGCATGTAGAACCCATGCCCATAGCAAACCATGACCCCTGTCACCCGCACAAAAAGCCAAGGCACAGTAAAAGCTGGGCGCCCGCGAGCAAGCCACCAGCCAATGCCTTGGCATTCTTGATGATCTTCATGTTGGCAATGCCTGGGCTGTATGGCCAAAAAGCATCCATCTGATTCAAGAAGATATGGCACATGTCGCTTGCCCGGCCTTGACCCTTGCCCAATCTTTCCAATGCCGCAAACTTGCATGCTTGAGGCCTTTGTCTGTTGACTGTCTTCATGAATGGCCACCCATCACCCATGCCGCGAGGTCACTCATCTCTACGCAGGTGTCTCTATGTGTGTCGTCCCCCATATGGCTGATTTTTTCCTGGCAACCCTCCTAGCTCAACGAGTTGGATACCTCTAACTTACCAGTGGCCCTACCGGATTCTGAAGGGCACTGGCCTAAGGCATCGCCTCAAGGCAGTTCTTCATGTAGCTGGGCAGCTGCAAGGATGCTCACTTTCAAAAACAGAAACAGAAGCGACAAGCGGGCGAGCTGCGAGAGGAAGGAATGGCAAACCGTAGACATAGACGCCCATACGCGCAAACACAGACACAACCACACAGACACACAAATAAACACACACAGAGACACAGAGACACAGAGACACAGAGACACAGAGAAACAGAGACACAGAGACACGGAGACACAGAGACACAGACACACAGACACACAAACACACAGACACACAAACACGCAGACACACACGCACGCACGCACGCACGCACGCGCACACACACACACACACACTTACTTGAAGCACACACACACACACACACACACACACACACACACACACACACACACACACACACACACACACACACACACACACACACACACACACACACACACGCACACACACGCACGCACGCACGCACGCACGCACGCACGCACGCACGCACGCACGCACGCACGCACGCACGCACGCACGCACGCACGCACGCACGCACGCACGCACGCACGCACGCACGCACACACACACGCACGCACGCCACACACACACACACACACACGCGCGCGCGGCGCGTAGAGCTGCGCAGGCAAGCGTCAAACCAAACAAAGGTTCCTCACATCTTCCGGAAAGGAAACAGCAAAGTGACATATTCCGCGATTCGACCGTACTTTCCAAAATGTGTCACACCTTTTCAAGCAGGGCAACCAGGTTTCCCCACGTTTCCCCGCGGCCGCCTGCTAAAGCTCGCCAGTCTGTCCAAGAGTCGGCTTCGGTGCGCCACGAGGTGGGGATCGTTGGGGTCCAAGTACCTCTCGAAGCAAACAGAAAAAAGACCTGCCATCAAAACCAACACCTGGCAGAAGGACTCAATACCGCAAGAACATGGTCGCATGCGCCGTAGATGGCGAACTCAGCCAGCTACAATCGTGAAAACGACAACTACGAGGAAGAATCGCCAAGTCAGACTGATGGTGTCCAAGTTCGAGGGAAAACATCCCTCTTTCTAACATGAACAGGTCCTTTTCACGTCAGTCACGCCATGCCGCTCGCGTCGCCTTTCGGCGATGCTCTCAGCCAAGTCACGGGTCCTGGTTCGGCTCATCCCGTCCCGCGCCGGCCGGCCGCTCCCTGACTTCGTCCGACGGGAGCAGCATCGCCTGGCCGTGAGATGCCCAGTGCGCGGGCAGAGGCTCACTTCCGATCCAGTGGATGGGCCAAAAAAAGGCGGAACTTGTATCTACTGCTAAATTGGTCTTCTAAAAGTTATAAGTTCAGTGGTTGCAAATCAGGGGGTTGTATGATGTCTCCACTGTCTCAACTTGTCATTGTTCAAACAGTAGATATTTGCTTAACAACCTCGCCAAATGCGGAGAAGGAGCCTACCTCTGACACGCCTGTGCCAGAGATGCATGATGAACATGCGTGAAGGCCACTCCTTCGGCCAAAAGCCATTAGCGACAAGGACCGACACAAATAATGAAAATGTGTGACGGTGGTAAGTCTGAGTAGCTGATATTAGCTGATGGGCTACCCAAACGAAGCAGTATCTGCACGCAAGCCTCTCCCCGTGCCATCTCCTGGCTGCACACCACCCCATTTGCCTTGCGCTGATTGAAAGTGCTGGGCCTTGAATGTTTGTGGAGCATGGACGCTGGTCCCTGGTAGATTCGCGGAGGCTTCGCAAAGGCTGCGCCAAAACAGGAACACATAAACCCGGGCAACATGCAAACCCATCTAACACCAAAACCCCATACATTGACTTCAAGCGAAAGCGGCTTCGCGTGTGTCAACCCGAGCACGCGAGAGGCTACACGGGCCTTCGCTATATTACACACAATTGGTCATTTCGGAAGTCTCGCCTGATCTCAAAAATATCCGACTAATGAACCACAACAAACATGAGTATAGAGATGTGACTTTGTTGTCTCATGTTGTCTCTTGACCAATGGCAAGCCCTAGTCTTTGGACATGACCGGGTCTTGACCTTTGGACTCGTAGGTTACTGCCAGTGCATCTTTGTTATAACGGCAACTGGTGGTGTTGCAAGTTCATCACCTACCCCGTAGAATATGCAAACATGGACAGCCAAAGACCAAATCCATCTCCACTCGAAGTACGTGCTCGCCCTTCTGGGCTCATAAAGCCAGCGCCACGAGCCTCGCAATCGATGACGCCTCGAACCTGGCGAGAAGCTTTGAGGTGCTGATTCCAGGCTCAGGCAACAAGAACCCCCCCCAGTAGCTCAGTCATGGACTGAGGTTGAGCAGTCAGAGTCAGGGAACCCAACCAGGAAAATTCGTCAAAAGGGTGCGGCTCAACTTGTGCACGGCTGGTTGACTTGCAATGCTTGGCAAAGCCTATGCCAACACCCAAATGTTTTGAGGGTCAAACATACTTTAGCTAGCAAACCAGTTTTTTGACATCAGCATCTCTTCTCCCGCATTTGGAAGAGTCCCCCCCTTTGGATAGTCCTGTTGGCATGCAGGCAGGGACAGTTTTCATCGTGCGAGCTATGGCGTGTAGCAAGGCTGGCAAGGTTGTTGCGAAAAGCCCTAGTTCGGATCAATCAATCCCAAATGAAACAAAATATCCCAAAATCGCTCACAAGCGCCCTTCTAGCGGAAAGGTCATTGGGCCAAGGTTTGGCGATAGGAAACAGTCCGAGAATTGCAGCCACTAATTATGTTGTCGACTTCCATCCCTCCATGCAAGTTGTCACGCGACCGTCAAGCCTCAAAGCCACGCCAAGTTCTGCAGGTTCCATTGGGCGCGACTTGTCCCGGCTTCACCGCTTCCATCTACTTCGAAGCAGTCAGCTTAGATTTAGTTGCGCCCTAGCACGCGTGTCGCATTAGTGTTGTTGTTAGGCCTGCTTGGTCAGCCCAGTGAGCGCAACTGTAACAACCGCCGCATCAGCTGTACAAGGGGTGGCCTGCTGGGCCTGCTCTTGTCCGGGAGTCACGGGAGTCACGGGAGTCACGGGAGTCCCCGTATCCATGGCCAAAATATACACATTGGCAAAACCCAAAAACCCAAATATCAGAAACAAGCTCCTGCCTCACCAGGAAAGGCTGGGTGGTACATGTAGAGCGAGCCCTTGGGAAAGTCGATGCTGTGGTTGTGCTTCCGGGCCTCTGAGGGGCATGCGAGGAGGCATGGCTTTGGGGCGGGGGGAATAAAAACTGTGACTTGCGGCCACTTACGAACCTTGCCTTCGGTGGAAATCAACTTGCGTCCAGGATATCCCGGTATTTCCCATTCAGAATCATAGCCATGTGATGTGTTGTGGGCCTTCAAGTCGCGCAACGCAGATGACGAATGTCATCTTAAAATATATAAACAAAAAAACGTGTTGCGGATGTGGAAGTTTCACCCTATGATATGGCTGCATCAACGCGTTGCCTTGGTCTTAAGGATCATGCAATCTAAACGTTGGTAACGAAGTGTGGCTTTTTCTATAGCTTCTCTTGGGACCCTACACCTGCTCCGGAAAGTGCACAAGCAAACTCTAGATGATATGTGTGCTTGATCATCTGAGCAGGCCACATACCTGCTTGGGTGCTGTGCTCACGCTTGCCAAGCTCAGCCCTTCCACACCAACAATGAGCCCAAGCACAGGCTCAAATCAGCTCTGTCTGACCTGCCAATCTGTGCTTACAAACCGCTCCTCTGCAAACTGACATGGAACCTACAAAGGGTGCCCGAAAAAAATGTACGGACATGCTTCCATTTTGATGGTTGCCGGTTTCGTCTCAATCTGCATGGGACTGGGAGCAACAAACGGTAACCAACAACTGAGTGCGAAGTGGGCTAGAAAAACACCCCGTGGTCAACCCTTGCAACCTTGTACCCTGGTGGCGGTTAGTATCGGTGCTTTCCCTCTGCGTCGGTTTGCACTGTTTCGGCAGCTCTTGCTCGCAGGTGTAGTGTACGACATGCACCCTGGCAGCTCCAGCTAGGAAGTCGAAACTTTCCAGTACAAGTGTAGTACGCAAGGTGCATTTTGGCAGCTCCAGCTTGAAAGTCGCGACTTTTCAGTACACAAGCGTACTAAAGTGCAGTACACGAAGAACATTTTGGCAGCTCCAGGGCAGCTGGTTGGACCCGGCATGGCGGCTAATGAGTTGGGTATCGGTTGGGAATCGGTTTGGGTATCGGTTTGCGGGACGGGTTACATAAGGAAAAGGCGCGGGGGGTTCTTCTTCGACCCAAGTGGCAATCAGGAAATCCTTGGAGAAGTCCAGCGTCACCTCTGAGAGCCTCAGGTCTCAGCCATGGATGGTGGAACAGGAGCCCCGGGCCAGTAATTACTTCTTTTGTCGGCTTTCGCTTGGTACCACCGAAACGTGCAAATGGCCAACGAGTCTCCCCTAGACGAATGCCCAAATGAGCCGAAACTTAAATGCACTCAAATGCTGGTGCAGGAACCCGTCAGCGGCACTCGGCGAAAACACGTACACACACAAACAAGGCGAAGCGAAGCCAGCCTCAAAGGCATGCTTTGGCATCTTTGGCAGCTGTCAAATGCATGTTCTGGGATGGCGAAGGAACTTACTCATATCGCCCCTTTCCTCATGTGAGCCCTCGGCAGGCTTGGCAATCCGTTGCCCCGGACAAAGGTCCCCCTAGTCTTGAACAAATAGCATTCCAAAATTCAACGTTGGCAGTACCAAATTTATTATCGGCGTCTAAACCGATACGAAACTCGCGAATTTTGCTGTGACTTAGGGAGCCCCTGGAAAGGGGGGAGCCTAGGGGGGCAAGGAGGAAGCGGACCAGAGAGGAAAGGAGGCGACCCCAGTAATAAAAATTGCTTTCCCCTGGTTGTTTGTTGGGGAAAGCGGGGAACAAACTCGAGAAGGATCTCCAACAGAATGCCACACTGCCATGCGGCAACTGCTTGGCTTGCTCACCTTTTTGGCTACGAGGAAAGTCCCGCCAGAACAGCACACACATACCGCAAAGGGCAACCCGCAACAAGTTGAATAGAAACAAAACAACCCCAACTGGCCAGCCAATGAAGCATCATCCTCACTAGATTGTTCTGCTCATTCACCGGCTCGTGCAAGCTTGACATGCCCTGGCTTGCCGCTTGACACTTCATCTGATGCCAGCATGTTGTCGTTCCAGATTTGAACTGTCAACCTGTGCCCAGGGCCGGCCATGGCAAGTTGACGTCCACCAAAGGTCACAAGTCAAGCCAGTGATTCAATGCACAGCATGGCACCGCTTGCGCACTCATAGTTTCAGACTGGCCATCGGTGTGCCCCCTCTTAAGAAGCGAGGGCAGCAGGTTTCCTTGCTCATTGGCACACATCTATACACATCTCAAGTGCGCCAACTGAAAGGCCTCGCGGGGCCCGCCGCATCAAGAGCCTCGGGGCCTTTTGCACTGCATCTTTGCTGCTCACCGTGCCCGCCTGGGCTGCTTGCAGGGGATCATCACCTGGGCAAACCCGGCATTCCGAGTCACAATGGAAGTCTGGAAGACTGCTTCAAGTCGACATTTTCAATCGAGTTGGCCAAAGAAGGCCGCAGCAAACTGCGCCACAGGATACAGGTTGGCGTTCAGGACGCACACTTCGGGGATAAAGACTCAAAGGAGAGGGAAACACAGTTTTGTCAACAACGGGGAAACCCGGGACCTTAAAAGGAACGAACCCCTCCGTGACTGCGACCTCTCCCTTAACCTTGGGGTTAGCGCGAGCAACGCGCTGTTTTCAGCACTTGAGCCAAAGCAGTGATTGGATCATGCTCTGGCATTGACTTGAATGTACAACATGCAACTGACTACATGAGAACCTACCTCATGTACCTCTGGGCCATAAATGTCATCGTGAAAATTGACTCCCCCCTCATTGACGGACTGAGGGAGTGTCTTGGGCGCATTACCACGCCAACTTGAAGTCAAGTTTACATCCCAACGACTGACGCAAGTTATTCAAGCATCACCCAGGCACTTTGCACACTTTTGGAAATTTTGTAGACATGCTGCAGCGCACTAGGCAGCTGCTTTAGCGGCTCTACTTTCACGAACGTCTTCAAGCTTCTCTGGAAGGTCAACACGAATGCCGAGCAACCGGATGGCATGGTCCCACTTGTTGGGTGGAAGCGCTTTCGTGAAGATGTCTGCTGACTGCATGTCGGTTTGGACGTATTCTATCGAGATGTGTTCGCTTTCAAGCTGCTCTGCGATGCACGCGAGGTTCACCTTGCGCGTTCGCTGGACACAGCGTAGCTTGGATGAGAAACCTTTTCTCGCTACGAGGATAGTCGCCTGATTGTCCTCGTGGATCTTGAGATGGAACGGTCGGTCCAAGATCAGCTCCCACAAGCTAAGCGCAGGGAGCGCCTCCTGATAAAGGGAGTATGCGAGAGATACAATCTCCGCCGGGAGACCGATGTCTGCCTTTTGGACACCCACGCAAGGGGAAAATGCGTGTGCGGACCACTCAAAATCAAGAATCCTCCGGACGTGGATTTTGCGTCTCGTTCTCCAGCGAAGTCGGCGTCCACATAGAGAGAGAGATGCAACTCGTCAGTCGAATCTTGCTAGACCATTTCTGAACAAATGAGGCAAGGTCGCCAATGGGCTTGACCAGGTCTGGGCGTGCCAAACGGCCGAGCCATAAGGCTTTCATTAACACGCGGCAAGCGGCGAAGCCGAGCTCACCCTCCAAGGCGTCATCTGCAGGATCAAGGGATCCAGCGGGACAGAATGGAGTGGTGGCATCACGCAACTTTTCAGTTTTTAGCTGTGCAACCTCAAGATATAATGCAACCGTTTGACGGGCATAATCCCGCATGTCGAACGCCATGCCCCCTTTCAATCTGCCCATTGCGGCATTAAGATCGGGTTCAGTTGGGTCCTTTGGAGCATCTATCAAAAGGTGATTCCTGCCTAGCACCCGGTATATGTCTTCTGGGGGTTCTATATCAACCAGTCTTGTTAACTTTTCCCAGAAGTCTTTATGAAGGTGGCTGGGGCCGGCCAACGTCAAGTCGTCGACGTATGTCGAGAGAAGTAACCCGGACTCCTTGAACCAGAAGTTTCCAGGAAACTCTGCGACCTCACGCCCTCCAAGTTCACTAATGAACCCTTTGAGGTGTGCCTCCCAGAGTCCGCCAGCGTCAGGATGCCCATAAAGAGCTTTAACGAGCAAAACCACAGGTTTCACGAAACGCTCGCGCCACCACCTTGGCCGGAGCTCAGGCGGGAGTGTGATCCAAGTTTGGTACTTGGACTTCAGCAGTGCTTGCACATAAGCCTTTATAGCGTCCGCTGTTGTGGTGGAATTCCCTGGCAGGGATCCATAAGCGAGACAGTTATTAAGACCTTGTACGCTCGTGGGATTTGCTCCCAACTCTTGGTAGACAGCTGCTGCGCCATGTTCGTCTTTCGCACAGTCTCCGCGATACACAATCCTACCTTTCATCTTCTGAAGGTGTTTCGCGAGTTCGGCGAACTTGACGGATGCTAGCGACATCAACTGCCCGAAATGGACTTTTATACTGGATCGTCGCGCCTCAGCAGCGACTTGATCATATTCTCGGACTGAATTTAGATCCCAAGCACCGGCTTTCTCGAGGCCTGTGGCTTCAAGTCGAACGGCTTCAAGGGCTTCCGGGGAAGCCAACATTTCGGCACGTGACAAGAGTCTGGTCACCATTGCGGTGATCTCAGGATCCTTTTCTTCTTTGACTTGTCCTAGGGATGTGCGATAAGATTTTCAACATCAAGAACTTGTTCAAGAATGTTGTGACACTTCTCATCGGACTCAACAGCAACACCTATATCTTCCAAACCAGAGAGAGGGGATATGTGCTTCAGCTGCTGTTCACGTTCCCGGTGATCGAGAGGCAATGGCACTTGGACAGGCATCGCAGGCACAACGGGTTGAACTGTCGGATACAGCGCACGGGCAACTGTGAGACACATGCCTTCGGGGTAGAAAGCGGTCTTTGCGGTCTTGTTACCTGCTGCAAGCGAATGTTTATACCCTTTTTCGTGCGGACACTTGAATGCACCTAGTGCGGATGCGAGTGTGCTATTGCTGGTCATGACTTTCCATGGCTTCTTGATGGGATAACCGTTGCTGTCCTTCAGACCTAGGGCGCAACCGTGGAAGGTCGCTGGGGTGAAGACGTGTGCGTATTCTCTAAAGAATGCAGAAACATCATCCCTAGCCCAGCTATCGCAATCCCTTGGCCACTCAAACGAAACACTACCCCCCTGATGGAGGACAGTCTCTGCGTGACGTCTGAATCTGGAGAACAACTCTCTCGACTCTCTAACCTTTTGCTTCAATTTCTTTTTGAACTGGCTTCCTAACTTGGCCTTATTAAGGCGTTGCCATGCTGAACCTGATGCACAGGGGATTGCAGCCCAGAGATTGGGTTTGTCACAACCTTCAATCTGCGACTGCAACTGGATTTCTCCTTCATCTGTGCTAAGGCCGATAAACTCTTTAGCCAGCCTAACATGAGGTATACCTAGACCTTCAAACACGCGACCCATGTTGGACTCTGGTGAACATGCGTATTCGAACATCACAGGCAACTTGTCAATGCGTGCCTGTCTCTTGCGGGCACGATGATTTCCTACCTCAAACTGCTTGCGCTGCGGAGCTTCAACCTCTGCGCTGCACGGCATGCCAAAAATTGGCAATGTATCCGGACGTCCGTTCTTTGATGCTTCGGTGAGAGGTGTCGGCGGTACGGAGTCTAACATCACGGCTGCACCTGTGGTGATGACACAATCGGACTGAATGGGTTTTAACTTGAACACTGTGAACCCGGTCCATGCATCTCCAAGTGAGCGATTAGGTCGGCTACCAAACCAACCATCGTGGATGTTGTCTGCTTTGCCCCCCTGAAACACGGCACGAGTGGTGCGAGCTGCAGTAAATCTTTCTGGGGAAACGGGGCAATCCTCGACCTCTTTTGGGGTAAAAAGATTTTGCCTTGGCATGATATGGTATCGAACCAAACAGTTGGCATTTTCTTTGAACACCCAAAAATCTTCACCTTGCGATGTAGCGGCTGTCGCTGGCGCGGTATCGAAAAATGAGCCACCGGGTCTTGAGGGAGCGGGCTCCCCAGCTTCGGCTGCATCAAATTCATGCGCAACATCTTCTGCACTAACTGCGGTCTTAGGATCTTCCTCATGCTCGGATGCGTGGATTGCTCTGGCTAGCTCCTCATCCCCTTCAGTATGAACAATGGGAATGGGTTCCTTAGATTCAGTTTTGGCAGCGCTTTTTGCAGCTGCTTCAGCTCGATCTGCAGAAACAAGTTCGGAGAACCTCTTCTTGCATTCGGCACTGTGAATCTTGGAATGACCGGTGCATGCACGGCAACCTGGCGTTTCCTTGAACTTGATGATCCTCTCAACAGTTATGTACACGGATTTTGACTTGACAGCGGATGGAGTCGGTGGGGCACCAAAGGGCGCCTCTCGCAGGGGCAAAGGTGGGGGATCAGACCCTTCTGTCTTGCCACCATGCAATGCTCTATCTGCTGCTGCTGCAATCGGAAAGCTTGGGGGTCCGTCCTCAACGAACAATTCCGGTTCGGGAACATCGTGAACGGAAATGGAACCATCTTTGCGGAAGGCTTCATAGTCCATGACTTTGACCACGTTACGGTACTGCAACCCCGGATCGACCCTCCAACCCAAAAAGAGCGCTGGCGCCATGTTCGGATCGAGAGTGCGCTTGCCAGGAGTCTTGGTTCTGTACCAAACCAGTTGCCCGAAACAGCATCTCTTACCTTGGAACTTTTCCTTGGTGAGGGCTTCGCATTGGGTTTTCCCTGGGCTGAATGGAGCAGGCCTGTCGAACGACATGGAGAGACATGCAAATGGGTAACTAAACGTATGCAACGAATAGGGCAACCCTGATTGCAAGTGGATGCTGCGGCAGCATTCCTTCTCTTCGCGAATGTCGCGCTCCAGAACGGTGTTGTGTGGCCACCTGTTCGGTAAGCTTGTCTCGGGGACGAGACCAACTTCGTGGGCCGCTCCTTCGAGCTCTCCTGCTGCATCCATTTTTACTAGACATGTTGGCGGCGAATCAGTGGCCCGAAGGCCCATGAACTGACGGAAGTTTTTGACATGCGCTTGCGTGTCCCGCCTACTCACAGGGTAGGCAAGTCGAACGCCTGAGAAAACATCACGTACTACATGGTGAGATTTGATTCCTCCGAAACCTACTCCGAGATGTTCATCGCCCATGGCAAGAATCACGGAATCGGTAGCCAACTGTTGAAATGGTGCAGTTGGGACATCGATTTTGTCGTCTGATCTAGCATCCTTTTTGTGCGCTACCCTTGCAGAAGTGGTCTTTGAGATTGAACACACCTTGCAAAACGGGTTCTTAGGGAAATGGGACCTCATGTGCTCAGGAGATTTTGCTTGCTCCTTCAACGCAGTATCATGTGTCGGGT